ATCAGCATCATCATCATCATCATCATCATCATCATCATCATCACCATCATCACCATCATCATCATCATCATCATCATCATCATCACAATCATCATCAGCATCATCATCGTCATCAGCATTATCATCATCACCACCACCACCATCACCATCAGCATCATCATCATCATCAGCAGCAGCAGCAGCATCATCATCAACATCATCATCAGCATCCGCATCCTCCTCCTCAGCCTCCTCTTCATCCTCCTCCTCCTCCGCCCTCGTCCTCCCTCATCCTCCTCAGGTATCATCAATAATATTATGATACGTGTTCGTATCTATCTTCGTGATAGTGTTATTCCTGTTCGTATGAGCATGCTTACTCTTAGTATTAGTCATAGTCGTAACGATCAAAGTGTTAGTACCATTTTTAGTATTATTTTTGGTTAGTAATAGTCCTATTAGTATTCGTAGTATTATCACTCGTCTTAGTGATACCAGTATGGGTAGTATTAATAATATTCTTATTATACGTAATACTAGTATGATTCGTATGTTTATTAGTTCTCGTATCCGTAGTATTATGCTTACTACTATGGTCATTACTATTATTATGACTCGTAGTATTCTCCGTCTGGTTATCATTATCATTATTCCTCCTCCACCTTCTCCTCCTCCTCATCCGCCCTCCTCCTCCTCCTCCTCATCCTCCTCCTCCTCATCCTCCTCCTCCTCTTCATCCTTCTCCTCCTCCGCCCTCGTCCTCCCTCCTCCTCCTCCTCATCCTCCTCCTCAGCATCATCATCATGATCATCCTTCTCCTCATCCTCCTCTTCTTCTCAGTATTAGTAGTATGCTAGTAGCATCATTCTTCTTATTGTTGTATATAATATTAACGTCAGTGCTACCATTCGTAGTCTTATTAGTACGAGTAATATGATTATTTGTGTTCGAATTCTTCTCAGTCGTCGTATTAGTATGTTCTCCATATTATTATGATTCGCGTTCGTGATGATCTTCGTGATAGAGTTATTCCTGTGTTTAAGAGCATGATTATTCTTAGTATTAGTCATAGTATGAATGATCATACTGTTAGTACTACTAGTATGATTACGGTTAGTAATTGTCCAATTGATATGAGTATTATCATTACGCTTCTTATTCATACCAGGATTGGTAGTATTCATGACATTCTTATTTTTATTCGTAATACTATCATTATTCGGAATGTTATTAGCACTCGTATTAGTAGTATGATTCTGACTACTGTGATTATTACTAGTATGATTATTCGTGTTATTATCCGTCTGGTTATCATTATTATTATTCCTCCTCCACCTCCGCCTCCTGTCCCCATGATCCATGGATCCGCCAGGTTGTGTCTCACAATCTGTCTCTTCGTCCCTTTCCCCGTCAGCTGTCATGGGCAGGGTTTTTGAACTAACGAATTTGCTTCGTTTCAAAAATGGTTCGATTCCGAGTGGCTCTTGGAAACCGCCAATGTGCAACACTAGTTACTGGGGGCTGTGACGGGCAGCATGGGAGTTTGGATGGTCGATGTCAAGCTACCTGGCCCGCTTGCCTGCTGATGCAGGTACAGCCCCTGGATAGTATCTAGAATATAGTCCAGCCTCTGATCGCTATCCTAAACATGTAAGCGCCAGAAACGCTTCCTGACACTTATCAGGGATCACTGTCGCGCCGGCACGTATGCAGGACTGGGTCTCCTTAGGAGTCCGAACCTGCTTGCTACATTTGATGCAAGAGTTGCTTGTGAAGTATCGCGCCTGCTCTCTTTGCCTGCGCGCGCAACCTCGAAGAGAAAAGCAGGCATGAGGCCGCTGGGCCGCTTAATGCGTGTGTCCTCCTTTTGGTGCTGGAGCGCCGACCCGTCCTGCGGACAGTTCGTGCTGGGCTCATCGTCGCCAATGCCTACAAGCTCCTCGTCGCGGCCGTGGCGGAACCCGGCATCGCAGCGTCAGGGTCGACGCAATCCCGGTTCTGCCACCGTTGCCAATGGCGAAGGGAGGCGCGAAGATGAAGGCGCGAAGGAAAGCAGGGGAGCGGCGTCTGCCGCTGCATGACTGCGACCTCCTAGAAGAGCGGAGGAGCCTGTACTCGCCTGCTGCGCTTGATTTCCGTTACTCCAGATTTCGTGATAAAAGGGAGGGGGGTCTCATTTCGGGGGGGGGTCTCCTCCAGGCTATCTTGGAGGGCCTGGGGGGGTCTGGGGTCGATGTTTTGGAGGGTTCTCCCACGGCGGGGGTCTGAAAGGGCTCGTCTTGGAGGGTCCAGACCCCCTCCCTTTTACTACGAAATCTGGAGTATGCTTTCCGGCTTGGGCCCGGCTGCTTGCTCGCAGTGCTCGCATCGTGCCCCTTCGCGCCTCGGGCCTCCGTGGTCCGTGCGTCTGGCCTTCGGCCCTCGCTCGCTCGCCCTGCGGGCCCTCGCTCGGCCCCCGCTCGCCTGTGCGCCGAGCGCATGGTGGCGTGTGGCGCTGGATTCTGACCCGCGTCCACGGGAATCCTCCTCTTCCTCCTCCGTCTCCTCCTCGTCCAATCCTCAAGGGCGCCCAACTTCGCGCTTCGCGCTGCGCGAAGCGCAAAGCGCGAATAACTCCGCGCTCTCTCGCGCCGCCCCCCAGGGGAGACGAGGAGGAGGAGGAGGAATATGAGCCGAACCGCGAAGCGCGAAGCGCGCAGCGCGCAGCGCGAAGAAAGAATAACTTCGCGCCCTCGAGGGCGCCCTTGAATCCTCCTCTTCCTCATCCGTCCTGAAACAGGGCTAGGATCGGGATAAATCGCTCCAGAGCGTTCCGGAGCGCTCTCAGAGCGTTCCGGAACGCTCTGGAGCGGCCGCGGCGCCCAATACATCCTCCAAACCCGCCGATCCTCAGAGATTTCGAGTTATCCCGATCCGATTCTGTCCCGATCTTCGCGTCGTTTTATACGCCCCCTC